TGCTGCCAGATCACCCGGTACGTCGGCTAGCAGTTTCTGTAAATCCCCCCCTTTGTCTGCTGCCTCGGCCGCGTACACGTCAGCTCCTGCCGCTACGGCGCGTTTCATCGTGATCGCGTTGATACGCACCGACGAATAGTCAGGCGAGCCCCAGCGAGGTAAGGCGGTGTTGTTACCGTTCACTCGCACAGTGCACTCACCCGTCGTCCAGTCGATTCGCGGATTGTGTCGTCGCAGCCAATCATGCCCAAGTAAAATGTCGGTTCCGTCGAGGGTCGTTGCGAGCATTTCCTGGCTAAACGTGAAGTTACCCCCGCATCGAATCCGAACTCGGTCCACGCGTTCCCGTATCGCCAGTGGCGTGCCGTCGACGAGTCTTGCGTCGATCTCATGTAAACATCTGTCCAGTGGCAGTCGCAATTTCCATGCTGTGGCAGTGTTGATAAGGCTGTGGCGGGCCCCTCCGTCTACGAAGATTTTAACTAAGTCCGTCCCGATTTTCCCACTAAGCAATATGGGGCTGTCTACCGTAGTACCCTCCTTATTCGGTCGGGTGTGGTCGATTGCGTAAACCGGCACAATCACTCGGTGAGGGCCGGTTGGGTCGGGCGAGCGGCGTGACCTGTCAGTGTTACAATAGTAGGCATGAGTAGGAGCCATAGCTAGGTAAGCCCTAGCTAGGCAAGAGAGAATAAGCAAAGGAGGGGTTTCACTAGCAGTAATGAGGATACATATAGCAAACCCTAGATGGGTTGTACTCGCTATGGAGCACCCCACTACAGGCTAGAGAATAACATTCTGACACACCCCCATAGCCAAAGTGGGGTGTAATCAGTACAATGAGTAAGCAGGTATAGAGCAAGAGTTTACAAAGGTAAGCAAAGCTAGAGCTAATCACAGAGGGCAAGTGAGGAGGAGGAGAGACTGTGGGGGAGAGAAGATGGGAGGCAATGACTGAAGCTGCAGAGGCGCGGGCACAGGAGCGGCTGACTCAGTGGCTACCGAAGCAAGGGCGACGGACTACTGGAGTAACTGGCTCCGCGGCTATAGACGAGCGGCAGGAGCAACGGACCCACTGGCGACTGGTGCAACAGGCTCACTGGCTACCGAAGCAAGGGCGACGGACTACAGGCGCTGCAGGCGACACGACCGCTACCTCCACACAACCTCCTCCAGCTGCCCCACGCCCCTCTCACACACCCCCTGCTCAAGCCCTAGCTCCACTCCCACGGCACCCCCCTTAAACCCTAAACCCTAGGCTCCCACACACCCACCCCCCTCAGCGGCAGCTGCAGCAGTGGGAGACCAGGGAGGAGGAGGAGGAAGGGGAGTAACACACAACCGCCACCCCCACACTCCTCACCCCCAAACCCTTATTCAGGAGAACGGGCAGCAGCAGGGGTGGGGCACCGTCAGAAGCACGGGGGACAGCGAGCAGCTCAGGGACAGAGAGGAACGGGCCGCCCACGGGCCTGGCACAGCCCGACGAACCGCGCGCAGGCGGCCCGAGCCGCGCGCGGGCCTGGCGCAGCCCGTACGGGCCGCGCGCGGGCCTGGCGCAGCCCGCACGGGCCGCGCGCGGGCCGGGCGCAGCCCGTACGGGCCGCGCTCGGGGCTAGCGCAGCCCGCGCTGGCCAGGACGGGCGACGGGGGACGACGGGCTGGTCCCCGTCGCCCGTCGAAGCGCCCCCCGGGGGCGACGCGCGGACCGACGGGGCAGAAGGCCGCCGCGCGCCTCGGGGCGCACGGCGGGCAGAGAACCGCCGCACGCCCCGGGGCGCACGGCGGGCAGAAAACCGCCGCACGCTCCGAGCGCGCGGCGGGAAGAGAAATCCGTCGCACGCCACGGGGCGTGCAATACACAGAGTAGCAGCGGAAGCAGCAGTAGGGCCCACAAGCCAGGAGCGTAAGTGCTTTGAAACCATGTTACAATAGTAGGCATAAGTAGGAGCCATAGCTAGGTAAGCCCTAGCTTGGCAAGAGAGAATAAGCAAAGGAGGGGTTTCACTAGCAGTAATGAGGATACATATAGCAAACCCTAGATGGGTTGTACTCGCTATGGAGCACCCCACTACAGGCTAGAGAATAACATTCTGACAGTCAGTAGAGGGCCCGTCTGCTACTGACTCCCAGCGTTTCCCTGCTGCTTGGTCTGTTTCTGCTGCTCAGCTTCCCCCTTTCCCTTAGCGTTTTCCGGGCATTCGCTCTTGCGATGTCCCGGCCGATTGCACGCAAAGCAGCGCCCTTTGAATGGTGCGGCAGCGGCATTTGCGGCGACGGCACGTATCGTAGCGCCCTCGTTCGTCCCACGAGACCGATGCCCCCAATTGCTGCTTCCGTAGGACCCCGGTCTCGGTCGGCAGAAGAAATAAAGTTTCTCCGCCATAGCGAGAATTTCTTGAAAGTCAGTGACGCCGCGGAGCTGGATTTCCTGAGCGATGTCCTGCTTCAGGCCGCCGATGTAGCGGTCGATGCGCTCGCTCTCATGCATGTATCCCACCTGCTCGCATAGCGCCAGAAATCCGCTCGTGTAGTCCTGGACGGAACCGAGTTGGCGCCAAGTGCGGAGCTTTTGTCGCGCCGCAATCGAAGCCGCAATTGGCTCGAAACGAGCGCGCAGACCTGCGCACCACGCGTCCCACGTGCGATACTGGGGCACCTCCACGAAATACGACGGCGCCCAGGGTCGGGTTTGTCCTTCCCGTGTCGGTAGAGTCGCGTAGTCTAGCTTCTCTCCCGCCGCCGTGCAGGAGAGCATAACAGTTATGCGCTCCTTTTCGTAGCCGGCTGTACGCACGTGGACAGTTCTTGCGCCACGCCGCTCTAGCGTCCGTTCTTGCGGCATCTCGAGGTAGACGGGAGTTTGGTCGGCATTTATTATGTTCTCTGCGCCAATCTCCCGCTTGACGATCATCTGGCGACAAAACTGCCAAAAACGCTCGCATTTCGGAGCGGCATCTACAAAAACGGAAGCACACCGGAGTCAGGTACATGATGTTGTCAATGGTGGCAGTTTGGAGAACGATACTTATACTTACCCGTGGGTAGTTTCTGCCCCATTTTCGTCTTCACCCGCACGGAAAGGCCCCAACTGCGCCTGAAGCGGAAAGACCAGCGCGAGGACGCTTGCCATGATTTGCTGGGGTGATACGCCACCAGTCCATGGCGGGTCCTCGCAGCAACGACACGGCGTAGCGAATCTTCGCCGTATCCTCCGAGACGTAATTCGCGTCGAAGAAAACGTTCAACATGAATAGCCACGCCTGAACGGTAGGACCACCCCGTTGACTCGGGTCAAAACACGGCGGACGCTGCGGCTTCAGCGGCATCGGCGACGGTAGAGTCGATTCGCCGGCCGGCACGGAAATCAAAACTCGATGCTGGTTCCGGGCCGCATTCGTCGCGTCGGGGTGTGTCGTGCCGTGGTCGTCGTCTCCGTCGTGGCGGACGACGCCATCACTAGCCGCGCTCGCGGGTTGCCCCACACTTCCGTGTTGCGATGTCTGTGGTGTGGGTTGTATCGGAGTGCCAGGTGCTAGGGATTGTGTTCGTGCAAGGTCATTCTGCAGGGAGGCGCGTTCCGCCGTTAATGCCGCGATTTCTTCGGAGCTTTCGTGCAGTTGTCGCAGCAGCTCGTCCAGGCGGTCCTGCGTGAGGCTGGTGACGTCGATGCGTTCGGCCATTCCGAAGGGCGTCGGCTCGTCTTAGTCTAGGCGCAGTCGTGGCTGCACGCGTTTACGAGAGAACGCGAGGACAGCGGCTCCTAGGGGCTAAGGTGCGTGAGTCCCTTCGAGTGAAAAATCAAAAGTTGATTTCCTGGGGTGCGGAGATGCGCGGTCCGAAAAGAAAGAGGCTCTGAATACCAAGTGTTACGGGTGCAATGGATCGAAGTAGCGAGAATTGCACTAAGGTGTCAAATGAGTACAAAATGTGAGCGAAGGCATGAGCGAACATTTATACGCGAAACATGCAAACGGTAACGCGGTGCGTGCGAGCTAGCTAGTGCTACGCTGGCAGCGAGGTTCGGGCTAGTCCCGAAGCGTAGGCCGACACGGCCGGTCCAGCAGTGCGAGGTTTGGTGAAACAGTGCGCGCGAAGTCGGCGAAGCCCCGTTAGCAGTAACGGGCGAACAACGGCTGCTGCTGTACGCGATGTTGCAGGGCGCGCTAAGGAATATAGAGAAAATTCCTTACACAACTGCTTTGTTGCCAGTCCTCATCGCAAGTTGACGCGATACCGTTCTTGACCAGTTCTAGCTGTGAGCCGACAAGTTCGGGTATGAAGCAAAGAAGAGCCACCTGCCAAAAAAACGACACTTTCGTGACCAACTAAGCGAAGTCGCCTGGTTGTGACGGCTCAATTTCCGACGCGCCAAGCGAAAACGGACACAACTGCCCGCGCGAGCGAAGGGAATCGAGGTGTCCAGTTCTCGCCCAAACCCAACCAGACTAGCCGGTGAGCCACATCCAGACCAGGTCCGAACCGAGACGGTATTGCGACAAAAACCAGTGAGGCGACCTCGAGCCAGCCGAATCTGTCCCCCAATTACCAAACCAGAATTGTCACGGCGTCGCGTTCCGCACCAGCCGGGGCGCTTGATTGTTTTCCTGCTTCAATATCATTCCCACCTTCCCGAAGCCGACTCGATTTTTGGGATCCCCCGCCCACCTGCTTGCTCCTGGCAAATCCATGCAAGTGAGATCAAACAAAGCACCAGGGGGACAGTGATCATTCATATTCCCATCAAAGCACAGAACTGCGTCAAACTCTCGGTGTCTGTTTGATCCGAGTTAATATTCTGTTTACCTCAGTTCTTTCCCTCAAGAGACGGACACTCTTCGAGAAACATTCCATCCGCCATGGCCGTCTCTCGCGCTGTGCTCCTGCTCCTCGTCCTCGTCCCACTGGCAGTCGCCCAACCCTACCCAAAATGTCCACTCACGGGGAAACTCCCCAAGCCCGCTAAGGTCATCCACACGCGATGCCCCGCAGCCGCGAAAATGTCGTGCTGCCAGGACTGCTTCGACCTGAACTACGCGATTCGGGCGTTAGCAACGAACGTTACCTCTGTCGTCGACGCGAACACGGGCGGCATGGGAACGCAACTGGGCGTTCCGGCGGACGTGTGCGGGTTGTTCAAGGGGTCGGAAACGTGTGAATTGCTCGTCGAGCAGCTCGTGTGCGCTGTCAGCTGCAACCCCGGTGAGTTTTGAGTCGACTCAAAAGTCACCCCTGTGAGGTGCGGTGTGAAAGACTCTCATCGCTCTCCTAGTAGGCCCCAGGATTTTTCGCCGGATTTTCTGCTTCTTGCTGACGCTCCGACCCCGATTCCTCTTTCACTCACAGTTACGCTCTACGGTGTTTCTCCTACCACCCCTCCTCCTTCCCCTATCCCTCTTCTTTCCCCTCTTTCCTTCCCCCACTGTCCCCCACCTCTTCCCGCTCGTCCGCGTCAGACTCGGGCAACTACTTCAGCAAGGCGACCGGCGCACCCATCCTCAACATCTGCACGGCCTTCGCGCAGCAGGTGTACGACGCGTGCGGCACCCTCTCGTGTAAGCTCTCGTCCGACCCTTCCGAGTCCCATCGTTCATTCCTAACCTGGCACGGGTCCCGAACCTGGTATGGCGCAGCACGTGTACGACACGTGCGGCACCCTCTCGTTTACCATCCCCAATTCATCCCGCTTTGCAATCCAGTGGATTCAACACTCATATCGCACCCTACCCTGGGTTATCCCAGCAGCTGCGTGATTTGCGCCATATGCCGCGCTCCTAATCCCATCTGTCATTGACGAGGGGATGCTGACGATCGTGCCGTTGCGTACTATATCCCCTCCCGTTCCTTTATTTCAGTGGGCGAACTCAAAGTGGGTGATTTCCTCTTCACGCCCGCCGATCTGATTCAGTCCGTGCTCGTCCCCGTTATTAGCTCCGCCGTTCCCAACTTCAACGCCAGCATCAATGTAAGCAAACGTTGCAAAGAAACACTTGCATGCGTTTCGCCATTGTTCCCGACCGCTTCTAACCAAGCTAACATCCTCCCGCTTACTTTTGAACGTCCGTCACACCTGTCTAAAAACCAATGCTGCCCCCCCCCCCTCTCCCCTCCCTTCGGCGCAAACCCTTTTCAGGACGTGGGCTGCTACGGCGGACCGGAGCAGGTTCCCTCCACCCCGCTCTGCTGCGATCCGCTCAACGTCCCCCGCCAATGCCCCAAGGGCGCGGTCAACCTCACCGGCTCCGCGGGTATCGTCGGGCGCAAACCCGCCGCCGCCATCTGCGCGGACTTCCCCTACTCCGCCACCACCGTCCCGTTCAAGCGCGCGCCCCTCCCCGCCACCGCCGCGCCGGAGCTTCCGCCCGCGACGACCGGACCTCCCCGCGGAGGACAGCCCAAGCCGAACACGCCTGCCGACGCCCCCGCTACAACCGCCAACACCGGCAAGCCCAGCGATCTCCCCGCGACCGCCATGGCTCCCCCTGGTCCCAAGGGCGCTGCGTCGAATCTGGTTTCCGCTGCTCTGGTGCTGCTCGCCACTGCCGTGGCTGCCGCTGTGGCTCTGTAAAGAGTTACGAAGCTGCTAATAAAGAGGAAGGATAGCGTAGAAGGTCACGGCGATGGAGCGGCAGATTCAGGGGGGCAGCTCAGCCCAGTAGCGGAAAAAAGGTACCGCTATAAATATACTGCAGTAACCCACACGTAGGTTTGATAGGCTGCTGCTGTTGATCACTAACAGCACTATTGTTTAGCAAAAGCCTTACATATATGAACAAGGTTCAGTCAACTCTGAGTTCCCGGTCAGCACATTCTGAAATGTTCCTCCATTTCAAGGACAAGGGACAGCACATTTCTTAGCTCTGCCAATTCGATTAGAACCCACGGCTGTACCAACATACCAAATTAATAAGCAGCATCCATGTGCTAGCACAATCTGTTAGCACAGATTATACTTGCCATAACCATCTAGAGGGCCGCATGCTGATACAGCTGAAGAATCTATGGTAAGCACAATATTTGAAGGCATTAGCTTAGCATAGCGCTACAAGCACAGTGCTGGAAGAGTTTTGCAGTGAGCTGCTACTGGTAGATACCGTGCCAGGACACCAGAAATTTTCCCTAGATAATTGCGCAAGGCATTGAAACTCCTACTGGTAGATACCGTACCAGGACACCATAATTGATAACATGTATGATTTCTCAAGACATTGAACAAGTGGATAGCTGACGAGTTGAAGGGGGCTGTACAGAAGAGAAGAGCGAGGGCTGGAATGGCTGCACACGACACCGCTTGGGTTGAGAGGAGAAGTGCGACTAGGGTGGACAGAGTTGAAGGACGTGTGGCCAAGGGAGGAATGTGACAGGTGACTATGTGCATATGTATCTAGCTGCTTCAGGCTGCTTTTCTGGCTGCTTCTCAAGCATCCAGTACTATCACGAAGCATCGCAGCAGCTCACGAAGCTGCTCAAGTGACGCCTCTTAATGCCCAGGGCCAGGGCCAGGAAAACCGCTGCGAATTGGGCCCAAGAGGCAAACTCCTGACGTCCGACCCCAGGGTGAATAACCCTGGCCACACTCAGCGAGGGCGAATTCCCCTGGGCCCTCTCTTGCTACCCCTCTTTCCTGATGTGCCCGCGCCAGAATATCCCCCGTGGCCGGCCCTCCCTCCGCCCACATAGTGAAAATCCTCATCGAAATCTGTCCAAGAGTAGGTAGTCTGGGAAGACAATGCAGATCTGCTGCTGCTGCTGCTGCTGCTGCTGCTGCTGTTAATGTTGCTGTTGCTGCTTCTGGTGGTGTTGCTTCGTGGAGGAGCAGCATTCGCCTCCATGAGAGCATCCTTGTCCGGGACATAGCCTGCAGGGGAAGGACCAATGACACGAATGTAGGATAGAGTCGTGTTTTGAGGTCGACACAGAACACGAAGCATTCGCCTCCATGAGTGCATCCCTCTCCGGGACATAACCTGCAGGGGAAGGATGAAAGCCACGGCCACACAGGCAGGTTCTGGGTAAGTGATGCTTGAGTCTAAGCCCCTGAACATTTCCTTTCCTCTTGTTTCCCTTACCGTTCCCTTCCCACGCAGCACTCACCAGAAAACACACTCATTCATCCAGCAACCCTGGTGTGTAGGAAAGAACACGAGTATCGTGACAAGCCACGATAGCAACCAAGACAACACAAGACAACACTCACCTACCATGTACACCCACACAACCAATAAAGACACACAGCCAACATGCATGCACTCACCAAGCTTGGCAGCCCAGGAATACGTTTGCTCCACTGCCACCTCTCGCCCCACGCCCTTCCCACTCCCCCCACCGCTGTTCCTTCCATAGCTGAACTCATACCGCGTGCTAGTACCGCCCTCCATCCAGTCAAACCCCTCATCATCGCTCCCAGCCATCCAATACAGGTCCCTCTCCCGCTCCCTCCCCCCTAGGACCACGCCTGGACCTGCACTCCCCGCACCAAACATGCTCTCCCCCATTTTCTCCCCCACAGCGCCCATTCTGCTGCTGGAATTAGCCGGGGAGGAAGCAGAGGAGGAAGAAGAGGAAGAGGAAGAGGAGGAGGAGGTGCCGTTGCGGTCGTAAAGCCGGCGGTCAATGGTGACGTGGAAGGACTCGTCACGCGTGCGGACTTCCACCTGAGGGCGCTTGCCATGCAGCAAGGCATCCACACTCCTGTCCGTCTGGTGCGGAACGAGAAGGGCAAAAAGCAAGGGAACAGGGATTATGGGCAAGGAGAGAGTCGATGGTGACATGGAACGAATTCTCCCGAGTGCACACTTCGACAAGGGCACACGCCGTGCAACAATGCGTCCACACTTTTTTTGAGTCGATTCAAAATCGGTCTGGAACGAGTCGGGAAGATTGGCGAGAGAGGATTATTTAGTACATCTTGATCAGCACGGGAAAGGTGGGCGGCGCTGTGAAAGTGTGTCACGGCACGGGCAGTAGCTCGTGGCTTTCCATTCGAGTCAACGCACACCTACTTTAGAGGCACCACGAGAACTACACACCTGGTGGGCGACCCAGAAGTGCCTCTCGCGCATCTCAATGAGCACAGGGAACGTGGGCGGTGCTGCATGCATGTAATTTATATCGAGCCAACCCAAAGCACGACTCCTATAGTGGCCTTTCACAATGACACACCTGATGGGCCACCCAGAAGTGCCTCTCGCGCATCTCAATGAGCACAGGGAACGTGGGCGGTGCTGCATGCATGTAATTTATATCGAGCCAACCCAAAGCACGACTCCTATAGTGGCCTTTCACAATGACACACCTGATGGGCCACCCAGAAGTGCCTCTCGCGCATCTCAATGAGCACAGGGAATGTGGGCGGCGCTGTTCTCTCCAGCACATTCTTCTGTGTGCCTCGCGACCTCGCCTCCTCGTCTCCCAAGGTCACTGTTTGCACCCCGCCCACCTGGACAGTTGAGAAGAAGTGAGGGAGATGGGTGGAGAGGAAAGTGAGGGGAGTGGCACAAAGGAGGCGAGGGGAGGACGGAGGGGCACAGCGAGGGCAGAGAGGGGAATGTGGGCGGCGCTGTTCTCTCCAGCACACTCTTCTGTGTGCCTCGTGACCTCGCCTCCTCGTCTCCCAGCGTCACCGTCTGCACCCCGCCCACTTGGAAAGAGGGAAAGAAGGAGAGGCATAATGGACGGGAATGAGGGGAACTAAATCCCACATCCTCACCACCAGGTCGCAGAGCGTGGGGTTCTTGATGAGGTTCTCCAGCAGCTGCCCGTGAGCTGTGCCCACCAGCATCACCACTCGAGACACATAGGTTTACCAGGTTTCAGAATAGGATCCCAGCCTCACCAGATCACAGAGCGTGGGGTTCTTGATGAGATTCTCCAGCAGCTGCCCATGAGCCGTGCCCACCAGCATCACACCCCTCTCCGCTATCGTCCTGCATGCCAGCGCCTCCGCCTCTGTCCCAATCTCGTCCACTATCACCACCTGTGGGCAGAGGCGGGCAGTCACAGACAGGAAAGAGGTGTGAGTTTGAGACGTCCCATAAGGCTATCGTGACTCGTCCTGCATGCCAGCGCCTCCGCCTCTGTCCCAATCTCGTCCACTATCACCACCTGTCGGCAGGGGCGGACAGGAACATGCAGGGAAGCGGTGCGAGTTTGAGGTTTCTCAAAATGCCATGGTCCTGCATGCGAAGGCCTCCGCCATCACCCTGCCCGGCCAAGGTGCCACACAAGGGACACAAGCACTGGGTTTCGGCAGTCATGTGTACGCGCTCACCAGCCAAGGTGCCACACAAGGGACACACGCACTGGGTTTCGGCAGTCATGTGTACGCGCTCACCAGCCAAGGTGCCACACAAGGGACACACGCACTGGGTTTCGGCAGTCATGTGTACGCGCTCACCAGCCAAGGTGCCACACAAGGGACACAAGCACTGGGTTTCGGCAGTCATGTGTACGCGCTCACCAGCCAAGGTGCCACACAAGGGACACACGCACTGGGTTTCGGCAGTCATGTGTACGTACGCGCTCACCAGCCAAGGTGCCACACAAGGGACACACGCACTGGGTTTCGGCAGTCATGTGTACGCGCTCACCAGCCAAGGTGCCACACAAGGGACAAAAGCACCTCCTCACCCATCTCACCTCCTCACCCATCTCACCTCCTCACCCATCTCACCTGCGGCATGTGGTTCTCCACGGCTTCCACCATCACGCGGTGCTGCAGCGCCGGATCCGGCACCTGCATGCGCCGCGCGCCGCCAATCGCGGGGTGAGGCACGTCCCCGTCCCCGCCGATCTCGTTGCTCGTGTCCACTATCACCACGCGCCTCTGCATCTCGTCTGCTAGCACTCGCGCAATCTCGCGGATCACTGTTGTTTTACCCACGCCGGGCCTGGAAGGGCATGCAAAGGGGTGGGAGGGGACAATAACAGGTTATGCACGTCTCCGTCCCCCCAATCTCGTTGCTCGTGTCCGCTATGACCACGCGCTTCTGCATCTCGTCTGCTAGCACTCGCGCAATTTCCCTGATCACTGTCGTCTTTCCTACTCCAGGTCTGGAAGAGCGTGCAAAGGGGTGCAAAGGGAGGGGGTAAGAACAGGTTATGCACGTCTCCGTCCCCGCCAATCTCGTTTGTTGTGTCCACGATCACCACCCGTTTCTGCATCTCGTCTGCTAGCACTCGCGCTATTTCGCGAATCACCGTTATCTTGCCCACGCCGGGCCTGCACGAATTACGAAAGGGAAGAAAGGGAGAGGAGGGCGAGAAGGGAGGGGGGAATATCCAGTCTTGGGGATGGCGGGAAGAGAAGGTTGGGGTTAAGAAGGTCTTGATAGAGATGAGATGGGCTGAAAGGATAACAGAGAAGAGAAATTGACCCAGCGCGAACCTTCCAAGAAACAGCAGGCTCTGTCCGTGGTGCAGCAGATCGCGGACCATGTCCACGTGGCCGGTGACCGCGCGCCCCACGCGACACGTCAGCCCGACCACGTCACCCTTGCGGTTGCGGATGGCGCTGATGCGGTGGAGCGTCCCCTCCACGCCAGCGCGATTGTCGCCGCCAAACGCGCC